TGGGGATGGCTCTGCTCGCCTTCCCTCTGCCTTTTCCTACAGCCTCGCTGACAGCCCCCCCAACGCTAGCATCCACCAAAGCCAGAAGCAGCTGGGGAGGGGGGGCAGGCAAGATGCTTATGAGATTTGGCTTCCGCTTCAAAAAAAAAAAAAAAATCATTCCTGGTCATGTTTCTGTGGGATGGGGAGGGAAAGAAGGGGCAACAGTGGAGATTCAAGGTGGGAGAGTCCATGAGTGAGGTCAGATTGAGCCCGTGGAGTTCCTCAGCACCCAAAACCAACCATCAAAGCAGACGAGGAAGCCACAGTAATGAGCAAAACCTAACCTGCAGGTTTGTAAGTGCACTGATATCTTTGGAAGCGACGTCAGGAAGAGAAAAAATCCATATATAACTAAGACCGTTCCCATATTTTGCTCTATCACAAGAAAAAAAATGACCAGTAATGTTTTGCTAAACTGTGCCCCTTTCCCAAATACTGTCCCATAAGATGATGGAATTTGTTACGGTTTCTGACTGGAGGGAGAAAGGCCCTTTCTCCATTTCCCTCCCACAGTGTTGGAGAGGACATGACCAAAGGCCTGACTTCTGTGGAAACCCAACCATTGCTTTCCAAGAAAAGAGTTATAAAGTAACAAGCACGGCTCAAGAGAGAAAAGTGATTGTCTAATAAAACCCTTTTAACACTGAGCTACAGGGTTTGCAGACCAGTACAAAAAGGCCAGTGCAGGGGACGGAGTAATTTCATTTTCACACCTCCCCAGATGCTAAAAGCAATGACATTTGGGCCAGCAATGTCAGCTGAACAGTGCAGAGATCCTTGCTTTTGAAGATGTGGCACTAAGAGAAGCTGGTGAACAGACACCAAGCCAGCAGTTCCTTGTGGTCAAAAGGGAACAAACACCTCTTGGGAGGAGGAATCTCACAGTACTTTTGAAGGGATGGACATCTCTGTGGGGAAGCCAAGAGGTTCTCCCACATGGTGGACATCCTTCTCAGTAGGTTGGTCTGGCTCCCAGCTAAATGGTTAAGATTGGGTTTCAGCCTGGGACATCCACTATAACATTTGGGATGCTCACTATGATACGTTCCCTGGAACATATTAGTAAGAAATTCCTGCAACGTGAACGCTGGATTTTGACTGGTTGCTGTTGTCGTTGTCGTCACATTTTTCCGCCCCAAAAGCTGGCTTTCTGGCACGGGTCCTTCTGTCCTCATTCCCTGCTGCTTGCTCAGGGTCGTAAACTGCCACCCTGCTGTCCAGGCTGTGACAAGCACAGTCTTGTTCACGGGAGCCTTCTGGTGATGGAAAAAGCTGTGCGCACCATCAATTTTAAAGGATTTCAAAACAACATGCGCGTAATCCTGTGGCCTGGATGCTGCTAAGAAATCATCTCCCACACCTCTGAGGTCATTCTGGGGGATACGGAAAGTTGTTGCTCTGAGTCAATTGCTACAGCAGCCATCAGTCTAACATGACAGGCAGACAAGACAGACAAGCATTGCTCCTAAAGCTCCCTGAGAATAAAATAGGGAAAAATGTGGTATCTTGAAGTCCACATATCACATAAAGATACAAGAGGCTCAGACTGCTCCATCTATATTGATCCAGATTGACAGTAACTCTGTGAAAGCCGGTTATTTTTTTCCAGGTTTATAACAACGTAACTAAAACCAGACAATCGCCTCAGGACCATAAGCCTGATTTTTATTTAATCTCAAGGAGGCCACTTGCATAATTAACAGACTGCATCTCGTAACAAATTTGCTTAATTTCTGCAGTACATTTGGGAATTCAAGGGCTATTCCAATTTGAGACCTTCTAACTTCTTCACACAAGGGCCAGCCAGAACAGAGATCAGGAGTCATCTGCCCTTTGGTGACCTTGGCCCTCTTCAAGCCAGGTATTCAAGTACTCTAACCCCTTTAGGGAGCAATCTGTTAAAAACAGCTGATATACAGGAATGTCAGCCAGGGATCAGGCATTTCTAGTTCCTTTTCAACACAAGCTTAGAGAACTGCTCTAACAAAGAACTGACAGAGGTCCCACTAACTTTTTTTACACCCTTTTCAAAGGAAATAGGGAGAAGAATCGCCTGGCTTGCTTGTTCAATTTCTGTGCTACAAGAAGATATTTGATTAAGTAATTAAATTAATACATGGACTTCAGAAAAGAATTATGGCAGCAGTTCTTCAAGTGCTCTGCAGAAGACACTGTTTTGCCTTTGCCTCAGATTGTCCTCCTAAGACTGGAGCAGATGGTTGATATTTTCCGTCATCATACTATACAAATTCTTAGGCTGGAAGTAAATGTGGATGAAAATACTCTCTCACCGTTTTGGCAGCTCCCTCTGCAGAGTCAAACCAACATGGGTTTTGACAGGACTGAAGAGTTCTTTGGTACTAATTTTCTAGACAAGCAGCAGGCGAGGTGACTTGACCCTCACATACTTCTGAGTCCAGCACTCGGCACCGCCTAACATCTTATATTAGATCTCAGGAAGAGCAAATGTGCCTTGTGACACCAACGAGCCACGAGGGATTCCCCGAATCCTCTTCTCTTGTGTAAGCACAGTGTGAAAGCTGCTGTTTCTTGAATGCTCCTATTTCTGAGGACCTGGGCTACATCAGGCGTGAGGATGGGACCAGCTGTAAAGTGCCTAACGATTTAACCATTTCAAGCAGCCCAAATGTGCTCCTCTTCTAGATGTGTGAAGAGCTCCAGACCCTATGAAAAGCTGAGGGAGGAGGGGAACTCGGAGAGCTCTGAATGGACCAGGAGAGGAGAAATAAATAAATCCTGCAGATGATGCCATCGTGTGATGCAAAGGTACTGCGCTCTCCTCAGGCAGGAAGGTTCCCCCTGAAGGTCACTTGGGGGTACAGCATCAAGCCGCTGGGAGAGCGTCGGCTTTCTCATCCTGTCCTTTTTAGCTCAAGAAGAAAGGGTTTCTCAGTGCTCACACGGTGAGGACAAAAGTAAAAGGTCCTAAACACTGAAGGCTTTGTACATGCCCATCTGTCGGTGGCACAGTCACTGCGCAGAATGAGCATTCCCGAAACCTCAGTCGAGCCTATACTCCCTTTTGAACACCCAAGAAGATGATACTGCACAGTGTCGAGGAACTACTTCCAGCCTATGGTCTGACAGTCTCAGGCCAGACTACGCCGGAAAGAAAGCGAAAACGTGTTTAAGCAGGAGCAGTGCCTCATTGGGCTTAACGAGGTCTCCTCTGAGGAGCATGCACAGCTACACCTGCAACAGCAACGAAAGGAGGAAGCGAGGCAGAGCCCAACAGAAAGGAAGGATGATCAAGAAAGAACAGGAGGATTTCAAAAAATGTCCTTAAGTACATCTTGCTAAATAAGTGAGCGTGTGTATTCTCCACTGCTGAATGGTGGAAAAGCACAGAGAGCCGCTGCTGCTCTAGGCTTCGCTGCAGACTCTGAACTGGCTTCTGCCCATCCATACATGTAAAAGCAGATTCTCATAGAGGTAAATGCTGTCACATACAAAGCACACAGTTTATGTGATTTACGGCCAAGTAGAATATTTATGGTAAACCAGTGACGATGATGATGATGGAGGAGACAGACTTCAACAAAAACAAAATGCGTAACACTATACTTAACTGTCCTGACACCTATATTACAACTGCTGGTCCCCAAACCTGCAGGAAAAGTCTACCTGGAAGTTAGGGAGCAGCGTTTATTCCAGAGTTAGAGACCTTGAAAGTTTTAGATGATTTTTATTGATTTTTTTTTTTTTAAATAATCAAGATGCTGCTGGAATCCTACTAGAGAGGGTTTAGAGCTCCCACCAATCCACAGATCTGTCAAGAATTTATGGGTTTAGGCTTGCAAACATTTACTACCAGATGCACCGCTTACCCTTCGTGGGAGGAGGAGTTGTATACTACTAGTAAGTGGATACAATGCTGGTCCTATGTTTTTAACGGACAGAAAATTCTACCACTTTTAGCTTTAAAACAGGCTTTCTGAAAAGCGGGGGGGAAAAATCAATTTAAAAAACACTCCATTAATTGATCATAAACTCCAAAACACTTTTTGAAAAAATGAGGAGGGGAGGAAAAAAAAAGATAACATGGCCATGAAAAAGCAAAACGCAATCGAAATACACAACAGTAGAGCGTGGAATAATTCATTTAACCCCACTTGAGAGTAAGACTTTCAAACAAGTCACGCTTTTGGTTTTGCCAGTCCTTCTCTGAAGCTAGGATAAGTCATTCTTCCACTTTCCACTATACTCTCACACAGATAAGCACAAGACACTAATTATTCATCTTTTTGGTGGAAAGGAGAGGAGCCATACTAGGGGAATTTTTAATTTGGTTTAAAAAATAAAATTTAAAATGACCAGCAAGCCAAACAGCATTTCTAGATGCTGGTAAAAGTGAAGGTAAGAGTTCTTCTGAAGACAGAGCTCTACTGTCATGCCCCAATTCTAACCTTTTACTAGTCCCAGCCAGAAAGCCTCTTCCAAGTGGAGGGCTGGGAATTATCCCCAATAGTTTTAGTATCGCGTTTTAGAAGCGTCCGCTGTTGTTACCAGATTGGGATCCTGAGACACGCTTTCCAAGTAGTGCTTGTGTGCAATGTGTGGTCGTAGTTCAGC